GCAGTGTACCGATGACTAAATAAAGCAGGACAGAGCCCTCTGTGCACTCCTGCAGGGCGGTGGTGTTCCCTAGGGCATATCTATGTGTTACACACCCCTTTTCCTGCAGAGGAGTGGGCAAGGACCTAGAGGAAGCAAGTTTTGGTGGTGCCAGGGAGAACTGCTATGGGCAGCAGATGAAACAATGCCCCAGAGAACATGGATGATGGCACAGTGCAGGATCATGGGTTGCCTCTGTCTAATACAGAAGACAGACCAGCTGTTTAGCTTGTGTACACACAGGGAAATTGTGGCAGAAGTAGGAGGTGCCAAAACTCATTTCATGTATTTGCTGGAAATTCAAAATACAATAGCAAGTTTGCAAAAAAAGGAATAAAACTTCCTCTAATTCCATGTCATGTAAGAATTGCTGGTGTCCCTGACTACCAGGAGGAAGAGCCTGTCATTTCTAGGCTTCATACACACGCAGCCCCATATCTCTCTCTTTTTATTTCATACAAGGTTTAGTTCAAGCTGGCCTTCTGTCAAGAGGTCCGCAAAAAAATGAGCCCTGGCACTGGCAGTCATTCACCTCCAGGTCCAATTCTTCATGGGTCAGGCAATCCAGCAGCTTCACATGGGACCTTAATGAAACATTCCAAGAAAGCTCCAGGGACAGATAGTCATTAAAAGCTGTTAACAGCACCATAATTAAAAACAAATTAACAGGAAATCTGAAATTGCCTTAAGAATTGTTTCTGTCTTGTGTCACATCTCATAAATCTCAAATTACCATTAAAATTTGATTTAGTATTTCAGAGTAGTTGCAAGATCAACAAGCCACTACAAAGGAGTTAAAAACCTACAAAATTTGCTTTCTTAGCACTAAGACTAAAGGATTTCTCTGACAGTCTGAATGTCACTGATGCTTTTAAAATCCTTTATTTACTGTATTTTAGAGGAAAGAAATAGGAAAAGAGAAGATGGCTCAGTAGCTGTAGCTCTATTTGTAAAGAATATTTCTCCAGCATTGCTTGTTTTCTGCTGAACTTGAAATGAGTTAACCCTTTTTTAGCCAAATCATCCTTCTTGTCACAGGAAGTATTAGGTAGCTTCTTCATCCTCATTTAAACAGGTGTCCTAGAAAATGAATGAAATGAAAATTTCTTCCAAAAGAGTGTGGGTTGAATTTCCCAGCATCTCAGAAATGGTAATGCTCAAAGATTTAAAGGATTTCTTCTTATACTAATACATTTGTAAAAATACTGAGACAGAGGAACTATATAAGGTTTTGACTCCATAGAGAACATAAAACTTGTTTCAAAATAAATTATGAACCTATACATGTATGATAATGAAACTATAGGTATCTATTTTAAGCTCAACAATTTAAAAGACAATGACAGGATCAATTTTGCAGCAAAACAAAATTTAAACTTCGTGTGTCGAAATAGCTATGGTTTTATTAAAAGCATGATTCTATCAGATATTTCATTAAAAGCTCAAATTCTATGGAAAAATAGTTATGTGATGATCTCAACTTTTGATTAAAACCAATGCAATTGATTTTATGGCAGGTCCTGCCTGGATGCAGAAAAAAAAAGCAAGAAAATGTATCCCAAGTGCGTTCTACAGACTCAAAACCTGAAGACAAATAAAAGATCCCATAGATAATAGACTGTAACATTCCAGGTCTTTTGTGAACTCATCTTCAGACTTTTTTAGGGCTGCCAATCCTGATTTCTTAAGGAAAAAAATATCTAATAATTTGCATTGTCAAAGAATGTCAGAAAATATAGCTTGTCATTTTTGTCAGCTTACCAGTTTTTTATCATTGTTAATAATGCAGTTTCTTTTATTATACTAGTTAGACTACAAAGTTCTTCAACAAGCTTTGGGTTATTTTTTTCCCTTGAACACTAACATTTTTGTTTAATCTGCAAAGCGATTATCAAGTACACTGTGTCATGTAAAGCCCACCAATTTGGGCTTCCAAACTTGCATGCATGAAATTCATTTCTGCTTTTTGCCAGCCTGTATGGACACAGGTCAGTGCTACCTAAGAACATTCCAAAGGAATGGATCCATCCTCACAGTGCAGCACAGCAAGGGCCAGGGCAGGGCAGCAGGCAACACAGACAAAAGGGAACTGAAAAGTGTTTTAACAAAGCCACTCCAGGACACCAAGAGACAAGGGACTATTTTTGTACAGAATTTTAGTTCCTGAGATGTCCAGATGAGGCCACTGTGGTTTTATTATCTCGATTAAAAGAAAAATTTAATTTGGTTACTTCAGAGTTTCCCATCTCCACAATTGCAAACATACTCAAATTGCCTGTTTTTCTGTTGGAGAACAAAGAATAGGAAATGGTTTGTCTTTTCTCTTTTTTTTGTTTCACACAGTGGTTATGATACTCACAGAGGCAGGAAGGGAACTGGACAATGAGAGCTGCAGATGTGGAATTTCTTTTTAAAATCCTCTTTGCTGCTGTTTGATGTCTGGCAGGCAGTGGAGATACAGCAGGAGATGCTGTGAGGCTGAAGCAGAACAAGCATTTTTCTTTGATAGAGATCCCTCGGTGAAGCTTTCCAGAAACAGCCCAGCCCAGGCTCTGCTGGGCTGTATCAGAGCCTGGTTTCAAATGGACGGTGTGATGCAAAGCCAGGGAAGGATACAGAGTACTTTGGCTGAGTCACGCTGTTAGGAAATGAGGATTTCTGTGGTGAGAAGCCACAGCTGGCACTGCCAAGTCCCCAGGCAGTAAACTCCAGTGTGTTTTGGAGATGGGGACAATGTTCTCATCCAAAAATATCTGGCCAGCCATGGGGGGAGGTAGTGGCTACAGGGATACTGTGCTTCCTTTGGTTTTGTTTTCATTTGTTACTAAAAGTGACCAGCAGAAGAAAGAGCTCTGCAGTGACCATGGGACCATGGTCACAGGTGAGAGCCCAGCCACAGGGAACAAATCCAGTCTCTGGCAGATTCTGGCACATTCTCTGCAGCAGATTCCTCACTTCAGAACTGAAACAAAAAGAAGAGAAATAACTAATCTTACCAATAATCTCTAAAAAGCCTTTTTCTGCCCTTTGCATTTCCCACCACAGAAGAAAAATGCCATGTTCAAATCCATGGGTGCTCTCTGATAATAAATGCATTTTTAACAGCAGCTGGGCTGACACCCCAAAGGCAGAGCTCATGAGGGGCTCATGCTTTCACTTCTCCACCCATTTGGGGTTAAATGCCACATTTTAGGGCCCCATCATACAAGGCCCAGTCTTGCCCAAGCCACAGGGTTTTCCTCTTCCCCCTGAGCATCTCCTCTGCCTGCAGCATCAGGGCTATCTCTGGCACTCTGGGCAGGTGTGGGGATGGTGGGTAACAAGAGCACTGAGTCAGTACGGCTGTGATGGCAATTAGGATAACATTTGTATGTAAACTGACAAATACTGGCAAAAAGCTCTTGTGAGGGAGGGATCTGTGACTCACAGGCTGCCAGCTCACTCTAACCAGATACTACTGGCCTCAGCCTTTTTCAGGCTCACTCAGGCACTCTAGAGAATGCAATATTTCAGCCTCAGCACCAGCTGGTTTTATGCCGCTCAGCCCTGTTCAAAAACAGGTTTTAATTGCGTGGCTCACTCAGCTCCCACCATCTTTTGCACTGCCTACTGTGGTTCTGACTGGTGCAGGACCCCACTCGTCAGACACAACTGCAGGGATGCGCCCCTCTTCCCTTTCTTCCCAAGCAGATGCAGCTCTATGAGGGACCTAAAGCTCAAAGGAGACTTCGTGGTGCTTGGCAGCAAGAAGGGCCTGTGGGATTGACTCCGAAGTGGTTGCTGGAGTGCCTTGACTTCCAACTGCCGTTTTCTGCATAATCCTTTAGCATCGGTGCTAACACAAGGTTTTAAGGTGAGGATCTCTGAAATGAGATGGTAAGGGAAGGTACATCATCACCAAATCTCTCGGAAGGCAGCAACACATCTTCATCACCATGGATTCAATGGAGAGGAAAAGCCCTGAAAGCCTTGCACTATTTGTTGCCATTTTCACCCAGTTTGGATGATACCTGAAGTTTTTGCAGATCCTTTTTATGGTCCCCTTGAGTTTAAACTTAGTGCATACGTATTCCTGTAGCAATACAATTTCCTTTCACCAGCAGAGCTCACTTCAGCTGTTGTTGGGTATTATTATACCTCACTGCTTCCTCTTCCACCAGCCCCTCTATATTGGATCTAAATGTCATTTATAGCTCAAGCTATTTGACTGCTAGTCCCCCTGTACCCCAGAATAGCCCAGGAAGATCTGAAAGTTCACAAGGAAAAGGGACATTAAGAGGCTCCATTTTCTAGAGTAGAAAAGAATCAGACCCCAAAAATCTGGTTGATAGATGTGAAAGTAGCACAGGACATTTAGGACTGAGTAATTTGGTTAGAACTGTGTGGTATGACTGCTCACACTTGGTGCTGTGGGTAGCAAGAAATCATCCAAGTGGGCACAGATACTACTGGGCAAAATGTCACTGCTGCAATGAATTTGGCACCCTTTCTGGAAAGAAAGAGGTCAATCCTCACCGCAAAGGACATATAAAAGCTAGAACTTTTTGTGAACATTATTTTTGTTTAACTTAGCAGAAAACAAGGACTGACATAAAAAGTCTTTATCAGTGTTTTTGCAGCATGCAAAATTTTCTGGTAACTACTTCAGAGATATCAGGAACCAAAATAAAAGTGATTATGAAAACATCCTTTAAATCTGAGCTGAAAGGATGGCTTCTTTGCTCGTTTCCTTCTTTAGCTTGCTTGTTTGTTTTTTTTTGAAATCACTCTTGCTAATTGTCCTGCAGTCATGGTATGTACCAGATAGCCAAGAAAGCTGACATGGTGAAGTTATATACAGCATCCTTGTGACCTTTTTGCAGTGAAGATACATGTCTGTCCAATAAAGCCCAGGCCAAATGACAGTGACAGCTGTCTTGTGGCATTCAGTTTGAATTGAACAGGTTTGCTCACAAGTCAGGAGCAAGTGTTTCATTACAGACTGTGCACCAAGATCAGCATAAGCCCCCAAAAGTGAAACTTTCCCTCAGCAGCTATGGAAACTGTTCCGGTGGACTGAGATGCACTTCACAGGCTCCTCCCTGTCTCCTTCCTTTGACTTTCCCACCTCCAGCAGGCTGTCATCCCCTGTTGGCATTTGCATATTGCAGGGAAATAAAACCTCAGTTCTCTCAGGAGTGAACCAGAGTGTTATGGGAACTGAGCACTCGAAGAACGAGGAGCGAAGGAGCATGGTTTTCCTTAGGAAAGGCCCGAAGCTGCCTGCATGGGAAGATGCCCTTCTGGCAGGGAGAGAGCCCAAGTCACTGCTGAAACGGGGATTGCGTTATGTCAGCTTGAGCCTCATCATGAAAGGGATGACCAGCACACCTGACTTCTTGTGGGGACTGCATGAGGTGCAGAAGCTGAACCTCTCACGCAACCAGCTGGTGGTGATTCCTCCTTCCCTGGGGAAGCTGGACAGGCTGGTAGTGCTGAACTTGGGTGGCAACTGCCTCAAGTGCCTACCTAAGGAGATTGGGCTGCTGAGGAACCTGAAGGTCTTGTTTGTCAATATGAATTGCCTGAAAGAAGTGCCAGCAGAGCTCAGCTTGTGCAGGAAGCTGGAGGTTCTGAGCCTCTCACACAACTGCATCTCACAACTGCCTTTGAGCTTCACCGACCTGACAAATTTGAGGAAACTGAACCTCAGTAACAACCGCTTTGTTCAAATTCCCCTTTGCATTTTCGCCCTGAGAAGCTTAGACTTCTTGCACCTAGGGTCCAACAAGCTGGAAAACATCGCAGAGAGTATCCAGTATCTGGTCAATCTGCAAATCTTTATCGTGGAAAATAACAACATACGCAGTCTGCCGCGTTCCCTGTGCTACATCAGCACTCTGGAGTTACTGAACGCTGACTACAACGCCATACAGACCCTCCCAGATGACCTGTACCTGCTGCGCCGCCTGCGCCGCATTGCCTGGAACCCCATGGACAAAGGGCTCCACATCGCCCACAACCCCCTGTCCCGGCCCCTGCCCGAGGTCGTCGAGGGGGGGCTGGATGCCCTCTTCAACTACCTCAGGGACAAAAAGGAGCACAACTGAGCTTCCGCTGAGCTTGGGATTAAGCCTGTCATCAAGACTCAATCGCATCGGAGAGCTTTCCTGCGCAGGCATTTCCACTTCATAATGCTTGGATTTTGAAGGCTATGGATGGCTTTAGTAACTGTTGGAGGAAAGCAAGTAAAGTATGATGGTCTTGATTAAGTGTGGGAAGAGCAAACTTTCTAAAAATAACCACTTCTGTAACCTTCACTGTTGTGGTACTTGGGGGTTTTTATAGAAAAAAAAATACAACAGAGCTGTGATAAAATATTTGCTCTTCATTTGACAGAAACAAATTAAAGCAGACTGCCAGACATGCAGAAATGTGCATTTGACAGCTATTAGGCTGAAGAAATATTAATATTTGTTAGACTTTCTCTCTGTGATTGCAATTGCATTTCTACTCCTGCTCAGTTCTTCATAAACAGGTAAACCACAACGTAAACAAACACTGCTGTCCAAGTGAATCTCAAGAAAAATGTTTGCTTTTGGCAGTGAATGTATCCTGAGCTATATTAGCTCACAGACAATATATTGCTGGTCAGTTCAATACCATTTGTTGTTTACCCCACAGCTGTGTTCTGGCCTGTATAAATTACAGGTAGAGATTGCCAGTGATGAGGCAATTTGCCAGCTCTTTGGAAGCAGATCCCAAACGTCCCCAGAGCTCCTACTTCCCCTGGTGAGACGAGCAGCCCTTCACATGGAGCCTCCCAGGATGCTGAGAGCAGTGCTTCACATCAGCTGGGAGCAGCATCTGCACAGAGCACAGAAAGGACTGTGGCTTCTTCCCTGACACAAAGGATGGAGTTGCTCATTGCTAGATGTACAACTGCTCTCCTTTCCCCCATCCCTGCAATCCAAGCTATGGAGTAACTTTACTCAGGAGGCAGTACATCTCCTAAAGGTGAAATATTTCTTTCAGGAAAAGCAGCATCAACCCAGTCATCACCTTAAGTAAGAGCTTCAAAAACAAATAGTTATTTCTGGGATTTTCAGTATCAGCCAGTAGCGTAAAAGCCAGGTCTTATGTGGTTTCTCATATTGATCTTCTGTGAATGTCCGTCATCAAAGTTTTAGCTGGTAATAAAGAGGCAGTATGAAAGAGCTGTTAACAATTTATGCAACTTGGGGCTTTTTTGTTCCCTCACACCAGTATAAAACAGAAGCAGCTCTGTTGAAATCAGTTGAGATAAACGCTTGTAATGGGAGTATAAGAGAGGAATGAGACTGTAATTATTGAGCTAATTATGAGTATTCAAAGCCATTTTTAAAGTGCTTCCTATGTCAAATCTCAGGAATCGATTATTTTCTAAAACTTAATTTCTTCAAAATTATGAAAGGCTGTGAAAGACTGATCCTGCTTCTAGTGAAGTTAATGGACAGTGCCTGGCTGAGGGAAAAACTCCTCAGCAGAGGTAGGAGCAGCCTGATAACAGCAGACAATTATGTAACTCATAGATACATGTGAGTAAACACAGCACCTTTGGTCACACTGACATTATTGGTGTGATATTGAATGCCAGCAATGAGGAATCGGTGCTCACAGAATATTCCACCCTGGGTCTGCCTGCTTGGGTATTTTATTGTGTTGGATTGTTTTGTGTATTATTTGTTATCTTAATTGAGAATTTCAGTGTTAGGCCCAGAAATCAAAGTCTCCAAGTGTGCAGTCAAAGACAAATCCTATGTTTCTAGCAAACATGAAACAATTTTGAAGGTTTTTTTTGCTCAAGCATTAAGAAAACAAAGCAATAAAACAAATATTTTGTGAATTTTTGTTACTTAGTATATGCTTCAAATGCAAATGTATTTTATGTGTAGCTTTACATATATTTATTTCACCCATGAAAAATTCCAAGTTTTTAATGAACAATGCATCTAACAAATTAGTATGTGATTCCATTAGCCACAAGGAATAAAGCTGCAATTATTTTTAGAAATACCAACAGATAATTCTTGGAGGGGATTAGGGTCAGATTATTAACTTTTCTAAATGCCCATTTCATATCCCTAAGTCTGGTATTCATGTAAACACTGCAATATTGCTTTGCAGGAAAATTAGATGCCTATGGCATTAATCACCTGAAAAGATTTTCCACATGTCAGTACCCTGGATTATATGACACTGGATAGCCTCTGATATGATCTGACTAGAAGAGGTATGCACGGTAATTTACATGGAAGATATGAGGCTGGACTCTGTGTGTTCATTTGGATACCGCTACGAGGGTGAGAAACACTGAACAATTCAAGAAAATGATCTCCAGACAGAGGATTAAAAGGCGAATTTGACATAATCAAATGCATCTGCAAAAGCAGTTATAATATGAAGTGCAATACCAATAATTTAAAACTAAATTATTCAATTGAATAATAATGACCTTTTACTCAAGCTAATAAACCTTTGCAAGCATATGAAACACATAAAAGTGACTGCCTTTTTAAACAGAATAATAAAATTGATTAAATAAATGGTGCTCTAATGTATAATTCAGATTTTACCATTAAGAAAATAATTTCTACTGATCTGCTTTAGTATTTTTTTCATTCCTCAGTCAAGGCCCCTACAAATACCTTTCTCATAGATACAGAAAATTATATCTTGTGACAGGGTAGTGTTCTGAATTCTTCATGTAAAAAGACAAGACTGTATGCCACTGTTATTGTATAGAAACATGCATGAAAGGCAAATAATGACATATGTATTTGCATCTGAGTGGGAGGAAGATAGAAGAGGCAAGCAAGGGCACAAGAGGGAGATAGAATCTGTAATGTCACGTGCTGGCTCTAGTTTTGAGCAGGGCATTAGAAAAGAATTGGTGGATCTCAGTGTTGTCATATGATATTAGCTGTGCAGATGACAGGGGAAAAGGAACTGAAAGGCTGCAGGGCCTGTAGTCATATCTCATCATCCATGACAACAGTACCACTTCTGTGTGTATCAAATGATACAAGTTTAATTTTATAACCTTTCAGAGGACTGCATGCAGAATATTACTCTTGTTTCTGGTAAGCACTAAAGTTTTCTCATCCTAAGCCCCACAGCAGCATAACTTTTGATGCATCTATTATTTTTGGTAGTGGTAGTGCTCTTCAAAGGAATGGAACATGTGGGATCCACTCATGGAAAGAATCCTTTCCTGGCACAGTGGCTTTTCTATGGCTGTCACTCAGAGAAGCTCTCAAGGTTCTTAGAAAAACTCTTGAGGTGGACAAAAGAAAGGGAGAAAAACAAGAACAAAATAGAAAGAATACAGTCAGGGGTCAAGTTGGTTGGGATAAATGTAATATACAATAGGGCTATAGAATCTACTTCTCAGCCGTCATTTGGTCAGATCTGATGAAAAGGCTCCACCTATTCCTATTTTAAATTGGAAAGAAAGCTGCATTCTGTGTAAAATTTAAAGTCTAGTCAGCAAGCAAAGCCTTTGAAAACTACAAGGCTTCAGGATTTTGGCCTAACCAAAGTCAGTGATTCAGCCTTCGACTGAAATAAAAAAATTTTCTTCTGAAGTGTTGCACTACCACCTGACTGGAAGTTGATGCTGAAATATCTTGTACCTACTGCTCTGAGGCAAATCACCAGCACTGGCACATGGGCCAAATTCTTAATGCCACTTGTGACTGGTAAATTCCCAAACACATTGCCTCGCCCCAGCAGCCACTTGGGGCGTGTCACCTGGCCAGGAACACCACTCCATTACGCGAGCAAAGCAGCAACAACCTACAAAGACCAATTTCCAAGATGCAGCATTTCAAAACAGCTTTCTGAGTCCAATTGAAACATCTTGAAATTCAGATTTAAAAGTTTGTGATTATTAATCCAGATGAAAAATATGTCAACTTTTTATTTTGGCCAACTTGCCAATATTTTCTCCATACTTTTTTTCATTTCCATCAAAATCCTCCTTTTTTGTCAACATAAAGAATAGTTTCTAGTCATTTTACTATAAGAATATGCATTCTGCAAGTTTAAACTTTCTGGGACATAAATAAAATAATTTTTTATTATGCTACAGGTAGCTTCAGGAAACCAGACCTCTCAGCTAATAATTTTAAATCAGTGAAGGAGGAAAAAATCTAAAAAAATATTACATTGACTCTGGAGAGATTTGGACTTGTTATTTACTTTACTAGGCTGGTACATTACTTGTAAAAACACAGCACATAAGTTTTTAAATTAGAAAAATCATTGATACTTTAGCTTATTTCCTTAAACAATGAAGAAGAAAGACTCAAAGACCTTCTTGATTTCACCAAATTTCAAGAGTAAATTTGCTGCACAGTCTTCAGACAGCAGTTCTTGAGTAATTCAAGGAGTGTTTTGAACTGCCTGGCACAGTTCTAATTACTACGCATGAAAATAATTTTGTAAAAATAAAATATATTATAATTCATAAAAGACTGAGAAAACATGTATATTATTGTGCTGCATGTTCTTCTTCCATTCTTACATATGGGAGCTGAAATCTTGAAATAGTTACAGATGAAGGAAAATTCTGACTCTAGAAGGGCTTGTATTTATATGAGATTATATACTCTTCCCATTTTATATGTGGCAAAACCCAGAATTAAGACCTCAGTAAATGTTTAAATGAGAATAAGGCTTTAGATATATTGGTACAGAGGTAGGCTTTAATACACACGTGTGGAGTAAGTCTGAAAATCCTTTTATAAAATTGCATGATCATTCCTCTGTACAAGTAAGATGCAGAATAATAATTACAAAAGATGACCCTCCCTTACTGATTCCATACATTTGTCTGTGGTGCAACAAGAGCCAACCAACCTTCAAAAACCACCCCTCAGCACTGCCCAGCAGAACCAATACCATCCTGCACCAGTACAGCTGCCTACAGCACAGGACTATTTTGCAGGCTTTAATGACAAAGCCTGAAATTTATACTCCAATGTATGTGGAGTCACATCATGCATGGCTAAAAAGGTGGTTTCCAGCAAAGCAGGAAGTGTATCAACAGCTTCAGAAAAGGTCACTGCAAATTATGCTGCCTCATAAAGTGAGCTTACCCAGGCAGAGTGAAAAGAAGACCAAAGGGCAGAGCTATATGATTTCCTAGGGCTCAGAGGAGTTTCAGATACCATAAATTCATTGATGGAAAGCCTGCTTTTAATTTATACTTTCCAGACATTAAAAACCAAAAATTAATCCTTTGATACAACTCTCTGAGGGAAATATGTATTGCTTCATTTTCTTTCTGCTCTCCAGCCTTTGCATCATTGGCATGTTCACAGAAGCAATGAATTGCTTTTCTCCTCCTGCAAAGGCAGCATTGCCACGTGTGGCTGAGTGTCAAAATGTAGGGAGGGTTTTATCTCTCATTCTCCTTGCAAGGGGTGCAGGACAGAGGAGCCTGACAGGCTCCACTGGTGACAGGATGAGTAACATACCCCAAACTGGTGTCATGCTCACGACACCAGCTTTATGCATTTGCCTTCAAGGTATCAGGCAAGGCAGTGGTTGTTCTCCAGACACTGTTTCCATGGCTGATTGGGAGAGATGGATACAGAGAGCTCCAGGTTATCTGCACACTAATCTAAGCATGTGAAGTAAGGCCAGTGAAGCTGTAGGGTACCAAATGCCTTCCTTTGCCTGGCCTTCCTTGCCTCTGCAGCATGTGAGCAGAGGGCACAAAGCTTCATCTCTTAACACAGTATAACATTCAGATTTGCTGAGATATGTCAGAGAAACAGCAACACACCTACATTGCCCTGTGACAAATGTTTTTGATGTCAGAAAATCCTTTCTCCCTAGCTATCAAAATGTTCCACCTCAAAACAGGTGTAAGCAGATGTTTAAAAGCACTCTTGTATTTTTTAGAAACAGCATTCCAAAATCAGCTAAAAGAAACTACCAAGTGAGTAACAGCAAAACTGTTATAGTAAAAAATTGCTTCCACCTAGAAAATATGGTTATTATCATTACACTTTCCTTGCTTGTTCTCTATCCTTTTTTTTTAACATAATGAAAGTCTCTGTATGTATATATAGGTTTCTGTACTGGCTCATGCATGTATACATACTTTTACTACAGGAAACAATGCTGGGTATTATTGGTTCCTAAATTGTTTGTGTAAGCAGAGAAGTCTCTCCGGTGTAGAGTAATCTAGTGCCCTGTGAATGGCACTGATAGGAGAGCTGAAGAATACAGAAGAGTAAAACCTTCACTTTGGGAAATTCATTCAACCAAGTGTGACTTGGTTAAGATAATGCCTTCCCACAGCTATTGCTATGCACAGGGGTCCTCTATATCTTTCAGCACACTTATGTTCTCTTTCCAGTTTGAAAATAGCACTGTGAAGAATGGCATTTGTGTGTTCTGTCTACCTACAAATGAAGCCATAAAAATAACAACTTTGGGTTCAATTCATTAAATGAAATCTCTCTGACCACGTGTGTGTATGTGTGCCTTTGTGTGTGTATATGTTTGGAGGTACTTGGGAGGTCATTACAATGCTTTGCAATGTACTATATGAAGAATATGTATGAACCAACTGAGAAGCAGCATATTCTGCAGCAAATAAAATGCTGACAATTAAGCATCTAAATGGGACTTATACATATGATGGTTAATTATGTTGCTTTTGAATTACTTACACATCAGTTTTCCTCTGTGTTTTTTACCATTAGATATCACAAAGTTCTGTGGCATTTTTTATCAATCTATGTGGGGATTTAAAATATGGAAGAATTCACATTTGGTCTTTTTTTTAAATTGATCGATAATCATCCAAGAAGACAAATTCATTTTCTG